GAGCCACGTCCCAAATCGGATGGTATATTTTCAAATTTGATTTGCTGCTGATCGGTTAATTCGATTCTCGAGTGCGTATCATCGGACATCGTCGAAATCTGGGAGCCGGCTCGTAGCGAATTTACCGATAACACGGATGGTGCCTGGAACGAACCAAGTTATCATAATAAATGAGGCAAAATATCTTAACAAAAACATAGTCAAAAAAAAATATTCTAATTAACGACTGCAATGCTTAAAAAATCATGATTCAAACTGATTAAGGATCCCCAAAAATTCCTTAGCAAATTATTGCAATTTTACTTATCTGGGCTTAACAGCAAGGGAATATCGGACTTTTCAGCAGTAACTTTTTAAGTTGGATAGAACTCGATGGCGTGGTTGCCGGCTCAGTCATTGGAGAAGATCAACAGTGCATCGGTGATGGAAAGGCCGTTTCAAGCATCAAGTGTACGTTTCAAGCTAACACTGAGGGAAAGCAAGACCACAAATTATGAGCATTTACTGTTATCATACGATCATAAAAGAACAAAGAAATAAATAAACTTTTATAAAATAAATATTTTGTCTTAGTGAATGGTAATTTACTGGGTATCTAAAACCAAGATGCCTTTCCCCGGAATGTTCCTATATTCAGTGAGGTACCACACGCTATGGCAAGAAATGTATACGACTTAATGGACCTACTTTAATAATTCTCATTTTTTCCATCGTCCTTTCTTTCTTTTTTCATTATCCTTTCTTATATTTTCCCATCATCTTTCTTATATTTTTCTTTTAACCTTAAATGGTCTTTTTGGGTAGCCCTGTTCAAGAAGAGACGGTGATTTTCAATTCAAAACGATGACATCTTGTCTCTTAAAACTTAGTCCCTCAGCGGGACACCAGTGAACTGGCAGATTGTGATGCGTGATATCTTTTACAGGATCCTTGATCGATAAGACTGACGATTCGATGAGTCCAGATCCATTTATATCCTACGAATCAACTTCTACTGTCTGAGTGCCTTCCGTTAAGAGTTGAAACAGAAAGAACAGGACCACCACCAGCACAATAATGACCAACAGGCTGATCAGCATTGGTAAAAGTAACTGGAGAAATTATCTAATTCTAGAGCTAAACTATGAATTATAGCTGACCTCCAAGGACTCAAATAAATACCATGTTATTTCTTTATCACTACACATAACTATAATATAAAGTCACAATATGAAAGAATGGGAGAAAGAGAAAAAAAGGAAAAGGAAGGTAAGAAATGAAAATCAAAAAATTTTTGAAATTATTATAATCATAAGAAATGTTTCGGTTCATTAAGTCAGTACCGTGTTATTTTTTATCATTACACATAACCATAATATAAAGTCATAATGCGAAAGAATCGGAGAAAGAGAAAAAAACGGTGAAAAATGAAAATTTTTGAAATTATTAAAATCATAAGAAATGTTTCGGTTCATTAAGTCGTATACATTTCTTACCATTACCACAACTGGATCTCGTCAGTACGACGATTGTGATAATTGAAATTAGTGAAAGTCGGGATTAAATTAATTATGTGATGCATGTTAGTAGTGAATAAAATGTTATAAAACATGTGTAAAGTAAAATACCGAGCTTTGATTCATCGAATGCACACCACTGTCAAAATTGTTGGACCACATTTGTACACGAAACATCGCACTTGTTGCTGCTGCCCCTGCTCCAGGCATGCTATCACTTGAAGCTGCTACCGGTTGTTGTTGTTGTTGTTGTTGCTGTTGATGCTGCTGTTGCTGATAGTGAGGTGGAATTGATGAGAGGGCAGGAGGAGGCCGATGAGGTGGAAGAGGACCGGAAGGAGGTACCTGAGTTGCGCGTAGAGGCATCGATGTGTTTGATGCGGGTTGCATTTGTTGCACCTGAGTTTGATGAGGAAGACGTACCGGTGCTGCTTGGTGCTGCTGATGTAGAGGGGGCCTACCGGGGCCAGATTTTGGTGAAATCATCGCATTGGCGCCAAAATTACGGGCTTCTGCCATTGCTGTTACTTGTGTAGAGCTGGATATTGCCTCGGCTGGTGAGCAATGAGGTACATAATCCTGTAACAAACCGTAGAGATAAAGGTAATCAAAAAAAAAGTAGTGTCCCAATCAAAAGTCTGCCACCAATGAGCATTTTTTAAAGCTTTTTGTAGTTGAAATTCCTCATTTCTGAGGCTCAGAGTGATGGTAATTTCAGCAATCAGTAACTCCTCACTGCAGCTCAGTTTGCGCTTATTTTTCTTCAATGAGATTTCCGAAACAAACCCTGAAGCCGCTTGTGAGTATTACCGCAAACAAGACTTTTTGACCAACCGAATAAGCAGATTTTAGCAACCAGGTTGACCCTAGAAGCCTAAACGGCGAAGCTGCGAAAGATTATAGCATGACAGAAGGAGATAAGAGTGAGATAAGATGTTTCGGTTCATTAAGTCATATACGTCTTAACTCAACACCGTGCGACAGAACCTCACAGAGAATGACAGTCGTAGTGAAATTTCCGAAGGTCATTTTCGATGTAATTTATGCAATAGGAAATGTGTTTTTAAAAAATTCAGCCTAAGATGTAGCGTGCAAATGAAGTCAAAAAGATAGCGCTGAGAGATATTCAGCAAAATGGGATATTCTAGCGAACGGTGAAAATATTCACGCAGAAGTTGTCTGTTTTTCGGCTGCGAACACAGGTGGATTAATCAGCAACTTTTTCGAGTGACCAGAGCAACGTCATTTAATTTAGTAAATAAACATTTTAACGTAAATTTCAGGATCTGTTACTTTTTTTTTTTTCAAAAACAATTTTTTCTTTTTTTTTGGAAAAATATTCCAAAAAATTAGAAAAATAAGCGAAAAATCCAAATTTTTTAACTTACGTGAGGTGAAGTGTTGCTGTTCATTGTTCTTCTGAGCTTTTTATCCGATGACCTCCAAACCTGGAACAGCAAACTACAGTCGTTTAAAAGAAAAAACTCAATAAAAGTGGACCTTAGCGCAGGCTGCTACGTAGCTATTTTTTGACTTTTTGTTTAATTTTTCAAATTTCCAAAACCTTTTTCTAAAAAAATTGGTTTCTGAAAAAAAAAAAGTAACAGATCCTGAAATTTACGTAAAAGTATTTCAGCCAAATTTACATAGATAAATTAAAATGTTTAGACGTGAAAAAACATTCACAGTTTCCCGAAGAACAAAAGGTGCCAAAAATTTACCATTACTCAAGAAAGTTGTTTAGAAAAGCCAAAAAAAACCCGGAAAGCTCCCCTCCCTTCCCCCTCCTCCCTCTTCCCACCTCACCCATCCCCTAGGTTCAGATGCGCTTCAGAAAAGTTCACAATTAAGAATTTGCAAGAAATTAGAATTAAATAGAAAGAAACAAAAGAAATAGGTTATCATCTTCCTCCCTCCCTCCCTCACATCTTCTCCGCACCCCCCTCCCTCCTCATGCCCCACAGGGGGTACTGATCCGTATTTC